TAGTCATTGAAAAAATTAAAGACAGCCCAATCTTAATGACAGCAGAATACACGGTTAGAATGTAACAAATGATTAATAAATTTTACAAGAAATTTGTAGGACAATGTCAAAAAAAAAATGGTAAGACTATTTTAAGTTTAATGCAATAAATATGAAAATAATATATTATGTATGAAAAAAATAAAAATAGAGAGAGTCATGCATGTTTTAGTTTCTAAAGATATAAAATGAGAGAAACATAAACACCAAAACTAAATAAGGAACTTGGTTAACTCAAATACTGTTTTCACCATCTCAAATATTAAATCAATGAAGTTACTATACATGTCTCTTGTTTGTCTACATTTAGGGTGTCTCACCCATTCGGAACCCATATTTTCAAAATGACAAACAAAATTTAGAGTGTACAATCCCAACCCACCCGCTTTATTAATTTCAAAAATATGCATTTACGTTGTTTCACCATGCATTCACAGGGAACATTTGGGGAATAACTTATAAACTTTATTTTGCCATCTTTAGTAAAAAGACAAGAAAAAACTATATGATTCAGTATTATAATACTGAATCATATAGTTTCTAAACTGGTGGAAATAAAATCTAGTGATAATCTAGTTGATGTTATTTTTTTGGATTTTGCTAGGGCATTTGACACAGTCCCCCATAAAAGGCTGTTTTTAAAACTAGCAGCTTATGGAATATCAGGTCTAACAATTAAATGGATTAAAGCTTTTCTGAATAATAGAAAACAAAGAGTTGTGCTAGGCGAAAACGTATCTTCTTGGGCAGAAATTATCAGTGGTGTGCCACAGGGGTCCGTAATTGAACCACTTTTGTTCGTGCTATTTATTAAAGGTTTTCCTGAAACTTTAAAAAACATATCTATGCTGTACGCTGATGACGCTAAAATAATGAATGAAATGGTTTCCTTCGAATCATCAGTGTCTTTGCAAGCAGATCTTGATAGAGCTTTTAAGTGGACTCAAGAGTGGCTTGTAAAGTTCAATATTTCTAAATGTATGGTCATGCACTATGGGATTAATAACAGAAAAACACCACTTTATATCAATAAACAAAAATTAAACATAACAGAATCTGAAAGAGATCTAGGAGTAATTTTCTCAAACAACCTAAAATGGAAAAATCAAGTGATATCATGCGTAGACAAAGCTAATCAAATGTTGGGTATGATTAGAAAATGCTTTGTTCGTTTAGATATTAGACTACTGAGATCACTTTATGTATCTTTTATCAGGCCACTATTAGAATTTGCAGTACCCGTTTGGTCACCAAATCAAAAGGGTGAAATTGAAACAAAAAGAAAGTTTAATTTTCAACAAACTCAAACAAGAGGTCACCAGTTTAAACATGTAAAAGAAATCACTAAGCAAGCTCATCGAGAAAACTTTTTCTTTAACAGATCAGCCAATTTATGGAATAGCTTGATTGCTGGATGAGCAGCAGTCAGGCAAAACAGCTGTCATAGTGTGCTAATAACGCACTCACTGGTTCATACCAGTTTCATTTTTTTCAGCATTTAATAATAATGATAATAATAACAATACTGGTAAAATAAACTGGAATTAACTGCCAACATAAATACTCAATAACAATTGATAACAACATATTGAAATGACTTTAAAACCCATTTTAAAAAATTGCATTGTGAAGTTTATTCTGACATCTGACATGAACAATTTAATGTGTAAAGTATTAATAATAATAAATAATAATAATAATATAATTATTTCATTGCTTCTAATTTTTATATTTTTAATGAAGAATAAAAAAATCAATTATATTTAAGTAAATAAAACTGTATCAAGTTTAATTTTCATTATTCAACCAACCAGCTCTTTCTTTCTTATTATTATTTAACCAATCAGTTGTTTCTTTTTTATTATTATTCAATTAATTAGCTGTTTCTTATTTTATTATTTTCATTATATAATTAATCAGTTGTGTCTTTTTTGTTTTTTTATTCAACCAGCTAGCTTTTTATTTTATTCAATTTTATTTTTTCATTAAGCTAATTTTTTTTTATTTGAATGTTTGAGGAGGCTTTTTGTTTGTTTGAAATATATAATATAATAAAATATAATGTAAAATACCTATATAAATATATTCAAAATATTTATAAATTAATTAAATTATAAATTATAAATATTTATAAATTTTAAAATTGCTTTACTTAATTACCTGAATTATTTTCATTATTTTCACTTAATTCACTTAGTTGTATAGGTTTATTTGTAAGTGGAAGTTCAATAGATGATTCGTTTCCCATGGAAACACTTTCATTCTCAGATCGTGAATCAGACTCTTGAATGCTGCTAAAAAAAAAATTTAAAAAATTAAAACATCAGCATCTCAGGAATGCAAAATATCATCTTAGCAATATAATATAACATAACATCTCAACAATATAACATCAACACCCTAAATGTACAGCATGAATATATTTTTAACACTATAATTCTTGAATTGCCTTTTAAAAAGGTTCTTACTATTGAGCAAATCCATTAAGCAGGTCTGTACTATTAAGCAGGTTATAATATGCAAAAACTATATAAAGCAAAACTATATGCATACATACATAAATATATTATTTTACTACAACATGTGTAAGGTTGTTGTATGTAAAGTGAAAGGTTAAACAGCATGTATAGTAAAAGTGTATGGTGTTAGTACATAAAGTTGGTGTAAAATAAAGGTGTATGGTGTTAATATATAAATAAAAATAGGCATACCTATATTCTACTTCACTTAGAATTGTATCTAAAGCACCTGATCGAACTGCTGGAGCTATAAATTAAATGATTTCTCTTAAATTTTAAAGCATAAAAATCAAAACTTTTTGTTTAACTATTTTACATCTTCAAAAAATATTTTTGCAAAACAATATGCTCGTTTAACCAAGTAAATAGAAACCATTATCTTTTTAACATTTTAAAAAGATAATGGTTTCAAACCTTGAAAATAAAAAAAGAAAAATTTAATTTAAATTAAAATTTAATTAATCTGATTTTTATTGTGGTCGCCTACAAATTTTGCTTGCAAAATTATAAAGAAACCACTTACCCCATATTTCACCCCATTTCTTGGATTTCTTGGGGTAAACTCACTCATCCAAGAAATTTTAAATATAAGAAATAATTCTAAATGTAAACTAAAGTAGAATAAAAAAATTATAAAATAAAAAATTACCAAAATTAAACAAACAAACCAAATTATTTGTATATGTAACTAATGTGTACCAACATTTACTTATTGTGCCAACTTGTAATTACTGTACCAATCTATACATATTGTACCAATCTATACATATTGTACCAATCTGTACTTACTGTACCAATCTGTGCATGTCATACTAATCCCCAGAAAGAAAAAAAAAGACATTTTTCGAAAATTCAAAACACTATCAGAACATCTTTTGAATGTTCAAAAGACCACTTTTTAGGACCAAATGCCAGCTGGGTCTGTACTTACTGTACAAATCTGTATTGTATTGTATTGTTTCCTGTTTATATTATTATTTATTACTGAAAATTCTATGGAAACACTTTTTAACTTTTAAGTGCTCATGAAACATCATTGATTACCTTAAAAAATAAAATAAAGAAAGGTAAATGTACTTTGGTAGATACTTTGTAATGACAGATACTAAGTTTAAAAATTGATGGTCACCTTAGCAGAAGATGCCCTTTTTTTGGATTTAAGGATAAGGGATTTTAGTACATATATTAAATGAAAGTTTAAACATGAAAGTGAGGGTTTAAACATGAAAGTGAGGGTTTAAACAGTATCTACTAGATATATGTCTACCGGGCACATAAAAAAGTACCTCCAGCATTGTCTGTTTAAACTTGCGCAAAATGTTAAAGCAAACTTTTGGTTCCTATTCAACTTAAACTTTATAAAATGAAGCAAGATGAATTTTAACTTTTATTTAGTTTTTGAAACATTGTTAATATGATTTTACACACTAAAATCTGATGACAGAAAATCCAAAAAAGGGCATCTTCTGCTAAGGTGACCATCAATTTTTAAACTTAGTATCTGTCATTACAAAGTATCTACCAAAGTACATCTACCTTTCTTTATTTTATTTTTTTGCCATTTTATGGCAACTTTTTTTTTTTCGTCAAACATTAATACTTTTTCTGATCCATAAAATACACTTTTTAAGGTATATTTTATAATATTGTAAATTATCATAAGTAAATTATCATAAGATTGTAAATTATCATATCATGTGGTGATCATGTAGTATCTGAGTGCTCGTCAGTTTTTCTGCGAATCAGTGCATTGAGACGCACGAGTCTTTTGCAGAACTTTACTCTTGTTCACCTAAGATTTTCCAGAGGTAATTATCATATTTTCTAGCATGGATTCTAACTTAGAGGCGTTCAGTCATAATCCAACAGATGGTAGTTTCACACCATTAGCTTTTCAAGCAAGTGCTAATGCTATTTGTCTGAATCTAGGGTTCCTCTCGTACTGAGCAGAATTACTATTGCAACAACACTTCATCAGTAGGGTAAAACTAACCTGTCTCATGACGGTCTAAACCCAGCTCACACTCCCTATTAGGGGATGAACGATCCAACACTTGGTGAATTCTGCTTCACAATGATAGGAAGAGCCGACATCAAAGGATCAAAGTTTAGCTTTTGTTTCCTAGCGTCAGACTAGAGTCAAGCCCAACAGGGTCTTCTTTCCCCACTGATTTTGCTAAGTCTGTTCCCTTGGCTGTGGTTTGGCTAGATAGTAGATAGGGATAGTGGGAATCTCGTTAACCCATTCATACGCATCACTAATTAGATGACAAGGCATTTGGCTACCTTAACAGTCATAGTTACCCCAGCCGTTTACCTGTGCTTGGTTGAATTTCTTCAATTTGACATTCAGAGCACTGGGCAGAAATCACATAGCGTCAACAATATCCGGCCATCGCAATCCTTTGTTTTAATTAAACAATTGGATTCCCCTTCTCTGTACTAGTTCTAAGTCATTTGTCAATCGCCTGCCGAACTGCTCTCACAAGCAAAGCTGGGCCAATCCACAACCGGTTCCTTTCCCTTCCTCAGGCTTAGGAGGTCAATGAGATTAAAAAAAAAAAATCTAAATCATTGCATCTAAAATATATATATATATATATATATATATATATATATATATATATATATATATATATATATATATATATATATATATATATATATATATATATATATATATATATATATATATATATATATATATATATATATAGATACATGTAAATAAAAATACCCCCAACAAAATGTTTATTAGTTCAACAAAAGACATAAGGAAAAAAAGATACACAAATGAAAAGTAATTTTTAAAAGCAAAAAACTTGCAAATACAAATATGCTCTTAAAGTCTTTATGGAAGACAAAAAAAAATTTTAAACAACACCTAACTTTATATGGTCAATCATAAAAGTGTTTTCCTATACAATAACCTTACAAAAATATACTATATGCTTATATGAAAAATAGGCTTATATGAAAAATTGATAACATTAAAAGAATAAGACTTTGCTAAATGAGTTGATTGAACTAGTGATAATAGCTTTATCCTTTGAGCAGCAACCATAATGTGTTTGTAAAAAAGAGAAAGAGTTGCAACATTACAATGGGAGATAAGAGAAAGACTTAAGCTTGACAGATAGAGCAACTCCAATTATGATTACAATGCATTTTTGGACCTTGCCTAGAAAAGAAAGAGCATCATTAGAAGAACACCCCAAATATGACAATAGTATTCAATACAGGGATGAATAAGAGATTTGTAGAGGTAGAGAATTTTGAGTTTTGATGGAGTTAAAATTCACAAGCCTTGCAAGCTTCAATATGTTACAGAATTGAGATCAGATTCAAGATTGGCTGCTAGTTCTAAATGATTAAAAAGAGAAAAAAGTAATTATATTTGCTGATGACTCAACTTTTTTCTCCTTGTCAAGTCAGGAGTAAAAAAATGAGTCATCAACGAATAGAACCACTTTAGATGTTATCAGAAAGTTATCAATGTTATCAAAATGTTATCAAAGTTATCAGAAAGATCATAAATGTAGATAAGAAACAAAACAGGACCAAGGAGTTACTAAAAATGGACCAGTTACTAAAAAACAGAACCAGAAGTTACTAAAAATGAAGAAAAGTGTAGGCCTTCGAGTATGACTTTAAAAAAACAGTTAAAAAGAAACAATGATTATTATTAACAATTTGCTTAACTATTATTCTTGTGAATATTTCTTATTATTATAATATTATATGATTATACTTATTATTATTAACATTATTATTACTTACTATTATTACTATTGTTGTTATTACTATTATTATTTTTATGATTATATTAAAAAAAAAAATAGTGTTTTTAAAAACCCGATAGAACTTAAAATTGTAATAACACAAAAAATAAAATTGTAATCAAGAAAAAAAATTTTATTCAAAAAATTAATATATGGTATTACATTTGAAAATGATTTCAGACATATGGGCACCATAATTGTTGTTGACAAAGTGCATTCTGGACAGCCAATTTTAGGTCACTTTTTCAAGCACTGCTAGCCATGTCACAAATAACATGAGCAAAACAATTTCAAGACATTTTAAATAAATAACATTATGCTATACAATATACAATTGAAGTTGAAAACAAGACAGAAACAATTAATTTTCTCAATATAGTATTTTGTATAAGTATATATTTATAGTATAACTTTCTCAATATAACCATTATAAATAACAAAATAGAAAAATATGAGTACAAAGTATATCAAAAAGAGTCAATCACTAAAATTTAGATTAAACCATATTCAAATCACAATTTGAATATGTTACCCATTCAAAGGATTTCTCCACAGAGCTTACTCAATCTGTAGTAAACCTCGTTTGCAAAACAAATTAAGTTTTTTAACTGACAAGTTTATTGAAAACAGATTTGCTCTAAAGCAATTGAGAATAAATAATTTTAACATGTTTCTATTTTTGAAATAAACATTAATTTAAAAACTGTGAATTTTCTTAATTTCACATTTAACCTCTAGGAAAATTTTTATAAGCCTTATAAAAAACCTAATGATGAATTATCGTATATTAATAATAATTGAAATCACCCCCTTCAATTAAAAATAAATCAAAAATAATTTAATTTGAAGTTAACACCTCCTTCCTAACCGATGTCGCAAAAGGAGGTGGGATTTGAATCACAGATTCTTTGTTTCTGAGGAAAATGCGCTACTGCTGTGCCAAAGCTGCTATGTTATGCAATGTTGCATTAATTATGAAACACAATGTTGCATTAATTAATAAAAATGAAATTATCAAAGAAAAAAAAATTGTAACTGCAAACACAAAACTGAATGCCCTATGAACGGAAAATGCTTATCAAAAAATATTATTTACAAATGCATTGTTTCCTCACAAAATAACCCTGATAAACAATATATTGGTTTAACCGAGGGCAAATGGAAAATACATTATGCCAACCACAAACAATATTATATATATTATATACATAATAAATACTCAAAAGTGACTACGCTGTCAAAATATATTTGGCAACTAAATTTTAAAAAATATGAATTTTAAACTAAACTTCTAAAAATTGCAAAACTGTGCCTGTCTATAATAACATTTCCATAAAATGTAAACAATGTTTAATTTAAAAATTAAACAGTTAATTGTAAAAAGATGTCTGCATTTAGAAATTAAATTTAGATTTTTTGTTTAGTAAATTTTCTTGATTCAAATGAGTAATAATTTCAAATATTTTTGAATTATATAAAAATATTTCACAGAAAGTTGAGAATTGTTATAATAACTAGGAAAATATAGTTAATATAACTTCCTAGTTGCAAAATAACTAGTTATTATATAATTAATTATAACAACTTCCTGTAAAATATTTTTTCTATAACTTGAATTTTTTGATATTTAGACATTCTTCATAATAAACCTACAGAAGAAGAAACTGCCTGTTGAAGAAAAAATTAGATTATTATATTATAAATTAGATATACTAATTTATTATTGCTCTGTTTTTTAAGAACATCTAGCACTCTATAAATGATATAAAATAATCATAAAAAATATTTAATATAAATTATAATAAAGTTTAAAATCAAACGTAAAAACTTGACAAAATATGCAATATTGAAACCAATAATGAATATTTTGAAATCAATAAAACTTCAATTATACAACTTTTACTTTATTTGTTCATTTTAATTATTATTGTATTTTTTGTATCTGTAACTATTTCTATTTTAATCATTATTGCAATTTTATACAAGATTTTATTTTTATCATAAAATGATAAATGGTAATTGATTGATAATTGACAAAGTGACAGGTGATTGATTTAATAACATATGATTAATAAAATGACGGATGATTGATAAAATGACAGAGCATCGGATAATAGTTTATATATATTTATTTTTTTAATTATGCAATAAATATGAATTTTTTTAGAAAAATTTCTTACATTCTAAACTATCTCTGATCATACCATGATTATCTTCGTGATTTTTTTCTTTCGTCTAAACATTTGTATTAGTAGACAATTTTAAAACAAGAAAATAAGGCCAAAGAAGGCAAAGGCTTTTACAATATCTCCTTTGACTCAGTGGTCAGTACTTTAGTAAAAAAAGATTAAACTAATTGGTTCTGTTATTACAAAGTTTCCTTCACAATTAGTAATATATGTAAACCAATTTTGTAAAAAATTTTACTTTTTAAAAGCAAAGATTATGTAAATTTGAATCAATTTCCTAAGTAATTTAATACAATTTTTTGCAATCATCAGGTAACAAAACATAAAAATCCTCCAACTTAAACAAAAACAGAAAATAATACATAATAGCCTTTTATTTTTATTTTGGAGAAAAACAGAAAATAATACATAATAGCCTTTTATTTTTATTTTGGAGTCATAAGTTGTTTATAAATGGTGTTAAGTTGATATTTTTTTGTAGTTCACAGTAAGGCTTTCCAGAAAAAAACTTTTTCATGCTGGTTTTAGCATATTATCTTTGTTTTTATATAAGGTAAGTTGTTTTTATTTAAGGTAAGTTGTTTTTATATGAGGTAAGTTGTTTTTATATAAGGTAAGTTGTTTTTATATAAGGTAAGTTGTTTTTATATAAGGTAAGTTGTTTTTATATAAGGTAAGTTGTTTTTATATAAGGTAAGTTGTTTTTATATAAGGTAAGTTGTTTTTATTCAAGGTAAGTTGTTTTTATTCAAGGTAAGTTGTTTTTATATGAGGTAACTTGTTTTTATATAAGGTAACTCTAGCATGACTCTAGTTTTTGATGTGAACAAATTTTAATTATTTTAGATATTTTGTTAGAACATTTTTCATTTTATTTATTATTGTCTTTGTTATACATTGTTAGAACATTTTTTACTATGGACCAAATGTTAAAAAAAAAGCAATAAATAAAAAAATAACTTGGCCTCCTAGAAAGAAAGATAAAACAATTAGAAAAGTTTTCAGATAACTTTTAATTCTATTTCCAGTTGCAAAAACTTTAAACATTTAAAAGATTGATATTTTGTAACATTTAAACGTTTAAAAAATTGATATTTTGTGGTTGATATTTTAAATATTTAAAAGATTGATATATTGTGTCATTTAAACAATTAAAACATTTTAATTTTTTATCATATACTGAATAATAAACTTACCGATTCATTGTCTTGAAATTTTGATTGATTCCATTTTCTATTTACAATATCTGCAAGAACTGAATCACCAAAATCATCTTCTGACTCCCATTGCTTTTCTGAAAGAACTTTGTCTTTTGGCGTATTTATTGACTTTAAACGAGACTTGAGTGGAGTAATTGAACGACGAGGGCTTCCAGAATCATCCGATAGAGACTATGATTGAAAATTTTAAGAAAAATTGTGATAGAGCTCAGAAGACATTTTATCTATGTAAACAGTATATTTCAGACATTGTGGTTGACATATCTATAATTCATATAATACATATGGTTATCAAATTTACAATTCCAAAAGAAAGTCAGTTTTTATAACCCTCATTTTCATGATTTCAATATTTTGCAACTTTTGCAAAATATCATTTTTTTTAACAATATAATTTTTTAATAAAGAACATTTTGCAAATTTTGATTCAATGATGAAAAAAATACTTATATGCTTTTGTTTATATATATATATATATATATATATATATATATAATATATATATATATATATATATATATATATATATATATATATATATATATATATATATATATATATATATATATATATATATATATATATATATATATTAGGGCGAAGCTTCAAAATTTCAAATGCAATCGAATCAAAAATATGATTCAAGATATGATTCGAAAATTTTTGAAAATTCGAATCCTTACTTGTTTTTATAGTGGGTATTCTAGATATAAGACAAAGTTTATTTATTACCTAAAGTATTGCATATCAATTCAACTTATAATTTATGTGACCTAAAATTTAATAAATAAAAAGAGCTTGAGCTTAATTAATGAGATAATGATTAACTAATTAAGCAATTAGTATAATTAGTGACATAAGATAAATACTCCCTAATGGATTATTTTTTTATTAATTTTATAAAAACAATTTCTATTGCATTTAATTACATTTAGTGTTTAAAAAAAGAAAATAAACATTTTATATGTTCAGAAAGAAAAGTTCTAGGAGAGTGAAGCATATTAAACTGTCAACCAAGCAACAGGTGAAGATAGTGGTACTTAAAATAATGGTATAGCATCAAAAATTTTCATATCAGCAATGTGCTGATGACATGAAGATAAGCAAGAAAACTGTTTTTTTTTTTGCCTTAAACTTTTTTATTTTTATTTTCTTTTATTATTTTTATACTGTACAGTGAAATTAAATATTTTCCTTCAGCAAGACAATGCACTGTGGCACAAGGCAAAAAAAGCTTCATAGAATCTAAAAGGATCTCTGGTCACTGTAATTAAATGGGCAGCACAGAGCTCAGATTTGAACCCTGTCAGAAATCTGTAGGAGCACTTCGAAAAAGATCAGAACAAAGCCAAGCAATTTGAGTGATTTTTGGATGCATTTGGAGGCAGCTTGGCAAGCAATTTCAGTGTACACAATTCAAAAGCTTATACAATTTATGTCTAAACATATGCATGCTGTATTGAAAGCACATAGCAGACACAAAGTATTAAATTGTACTGCATACTTTTAATTACTACCAATTAGTCTAACTTTAGAATTTAAAAATTTTTTTTATCCACCATGATCTTAATTTGAAAAACTCTTTATTTTTATAAGATCAAAGTTTTATGTAAAATAAAATATTATTTTAAAAGGGTTTTCATAAGAACTACATTATGTTGACTTGAAAAAAAGTTAATAAGCTCCAGCAATTTTTAAGGTGGTTCATGAACTTTTGTTCTTAACATGGCATAATATGGAATTGCTCAACTTAGAAGAAATTTATTTTTTTAAAAATGTTTATTTGAAGTATATCAACTGCATGATATAAACATTGAGTTGTTAAAAGAAATTTTAACTTTAATTGTTGCTTTTAGAACTTTACTAAGTAACCTTCATTAACCAATAATGCCTTTTTTAAAGTTCAAACTAATGCAAAAAAAAAAAAATTGTAAAAAATAAATATATTTAAGGTTTCTTACTTTATTTTTACATTTTCAATGATATTCATTTAACATTTATAGCTATTTTAGTTGATTAGTTGGTTAGGGTATTGTGTACACATTTGTTAATTATAAGTGTTCAAGACCTGTTTTGTCATTTGTAATGATTTGTGCAGTCAAAATGTCTTTAACAAAGCAATAGCTTTATTAGTTCCATTATGATCATAAAACTTGAATATTAATCTTCCAAGTGGCGGCATCAAAGTAAAATATTCAGTTTTGATTTACAAAACAGGTTATCACAAGGAAGGTTTTCTAGTAGTAAAAAAAAATTGTTTTTAATTTCGAAAAAATAAAGATTAAACTTATAAAAATAAACTTCTTTTTTAGTTTCTCGGAACTAAAAAAAAGTTGAAGATAACTGATTGTTTTAATTATAGAAAATATCTTAGACGTTAGGCAAAAAAAAAAAAAGGAAAGCTTCGTTATTTAGGAGTTATGATAAGATATTTTAACCAATCGATTTTTTAATTAAATTTAATTTTGTAAACTTTGGTTTTGCTTTGAAATGCTGTTATTGTCATACAATATTAAAGCGCTTATGTATTTAAACTTGTACCTCGTTCATAAATTTTTCAAACTCGTCATCAAAAGAAGTTCCTTTAATCTTTGATTTTAGTTTATTCCAGTTTGATGAAGACATTTTCAAACTTAAATATTTGGTGTTACCGGTATCTTTATTTTTCTTTGTTTTTGTTTTTTGATTATATTATTTTTTTGATATTTTTTAGTTGTTTGGTTTTTTTTTATAAATCGGTGGAAGCCGTCAAGTCATTTTTTTAAACATTTCAAGTCATTTTTTTCATTTTCCACATTATGTCTGAAAAAAAGTGAATTTTAAAAATATTTGTACATCTTTATTCAGGAACGTCCATAAAGTACGTATTCTTAGGGGTTAATCAAGTATATGAGATAGGGGGGGGGGGAAGACAAGTGGGTCAATTATAAAATTAAAGAGACACTAAATTAAAAAAAAAAATCATAAAATGTTGGGTATGTAGGTTAAGACCGTAATTATTTTTAGGGAGGGGAGGTACTCCATCTCCCTAAAAATGGTGCAGCACAGCGCGAGTAGGTGTCATGTGGGGGAGGGGGGGGGAGCACTACAACTTTTGCCGACAAAAAAAAAAAAAGTTCCTTGTTTTTTAAAATTTGCCGACTGCCCTCCGACTGACATAACGACATTTGCCAAATTTAACTCTTAGGTTAAATTCAATTGAGCCCCCCAGAACATTGTATAGCGGGACAAAATAGCTCTATTCGAGCAAAAATTATTTCAGTTTTTGTTAGAATTTCTGTAATTTTAATTATAATAACCATAAAAAATGAATATCGAGCTCATATTTTTTAATTTTGTAGTTATTAAGGTGCCTTCCGAAGTCTTCACTGTCTCGCAGAAAAGCATTTAACTACTCAGTGTAGTTAAGGCGATTTACAGAGTATGTGAATACTTTTATTTGGAATTAGCATGGTTTTGTCAGCATATTATGCCCAAACAAGATCTTTAAATGTTATAATTTTTTTCACTTAAGGTCTTTGTAATATTTAAAGAAACTTTTCTTTTTTATATATAATTTTTAAAATCTTTTTACTACCTGTAATAATGTATCTAAAGAACACTATTTTGGAGTCTTTAGATAACATAACATAGAGAACATAAATTTAGTTTAAATCTTTTTAAAAAGTTTCTTAATTTACTACTGATCCTAGTTCTAATCGGTTCTGACTCATATTAACTATATATAGTTGTCAAAACACAATATTTCTATCAATTTTCACAAAAAATACTGAAATTCCGACCAAGAAAGAGCTTATAATTATAAAAAATTGCCATTAAACGATCAGAACAGATCATATTGTTAAACTATAATGTTAAACTATAATGTTCATTTCACCTAAAAAACGTATTAATATAAAATCTTATTTAAATTTGAACGAGCGATTGTGGTTCAAGATGATTTTCTTTTTTTAATTTTCCACGATCTGGGTTTTTTCGCTACAAACATTTTTATTTTATGATAACGCAAAATTAATTATTTTCATTTTTTTCGTCTTTTCATAATTCACAGACCAGACTATTTAACGGAAATATGTCGTAGTCAACAAAATATCATACAGACTTTATAAAGACGAAAAATTCGCTCGAAGCGAATTTTTTCGTCGTTAAGCATGCGCAGATTAAACATTTTAAGTGATTATACTGATTTTTTTTCGCTAGAGCGTTTCGCTGCAGCGAAAAAAAAGTCGGATTCATTTCGACTTTTTGTGAATCGCCATACATCGAAAACATGTTTTTAAATTAACAAAAAAAAAATTCTTAACCTGGCGTTCTTATTAATTTTTTATGAACTTACTCTAAAAAATTGGCAAACATAAGTAAATTTATCAAACAAGGAGCAAGGCTTACATAAAAAAATGACCAGACTTATATATAAAACTAAATCAAGAATTAACAAATATAAATTTTCACACTGTCAATTACGAAAGTTACACTTCATAAGAATGTTTATTTTTAAGTGGCCACACAAAGAGAAACCTTTTTGTGAAAAATTCTACATTAAGTTAAACCTGCCGTTTTTTCTTGCAGTAACAGTTTTTAATAGAAATGTTCATATCAGAGTTGAGCATTTATTTTCTTATGGTTTCTTGTAAAAAAAAACTTATATTAAATGATTATATTACAAAATAATATCACATCTTACATATAATGGCAGAAATGTTAATATAAATGGATGGAAAGAAATTTTTACATGCTTCAAAGTAGAAAATATGCTAAAAAAGTAATAACTGCTTTTGGCGGACCTGTACACGGCGCACCCTAAACTTGGTGAAGTTCGTTAATTCTCGGAACGAATATTCTCGGTGTTCGCTTTTGGTATTTTACAGAATCGGCGCTAAAATATTACGTTAAATCGCGCCATAATGGTAACGTCGAAAATAAAAAACAAAAACTTTGCGTAAATGCATTTTAATAAAAATTTACATTTTAGAAAAAAAAAAAAAAATTACAAATTATCAACATATATACATTAAATATTAGATTAAATAGATCTTCTAGAGGTATCTTCTCTTCTTAAGATTTCTTTTTGTAGCTTATCTTTTATTAATCGATCTTCTAAAGGTAGATAGATACCTTTATTTCTTTACATATCTTATTGTGGCTAATCTTCTTTTAATCGATCTTCTACAGTTATCTTCTTGTAGCTTATCTTCTTTGCATATCTTTTTGTGGCTTATCTTCTTTTAGTTTTTGCAACGTATATTTTGTGTTGTACATAAAAAAAAAACAAGTTCAATATAAATATTATGAAACATTTTTAATGTAAATATTATATTGTAATACTTATTTTACATTACAGAGGATAGCTATCATTAATATGTTTTAAGAATAAAGAGAAATTTTTACAAACATTTTTATTATAAAAATCATAATATTCTCTGTATACAGCTTGATCTAGCCTAGACCACTTTAAATCACCCTGTGATCCAAAAACATACTTTAACCTTCGTTTCATCCGACACCAAAACGACTCAACATGATTTGTTGTTGCTTCACTGAATTAAGGTTTATTCGTTTACACCTACTACCTCAGATGCAGCGGTTACAGGAACATTAATTGAAGTATCAGACTGACACTTAAAGATGTAGAGCTTACAAAAAATCCTGCTCGAATTGACTTCATAATTTTGCACAAGCATCCTTAGACCACATAGACAAAGTTTTTGAAGTGGCATTAGCCTTTTTTGTTGCAAAAAATCAACCAATTTCTTCTTTGATACTTTCAATGAACTCAGCTAAAGGTGTCATCTTACTTATTTTAAAGGCGGTAAAAACTTGGCTTTGGAAGCGCGAATTAAAACTTTTGTGCTAAATTTTCATTCGTTAATATTAGCCAATCATTAAACGGCAAAAATATTGTTTCGAACTTTACCGAGTTCGTTTACGAACTTCACCGAGTTTAGGGTGCGCCGAGTATAGGTCCGCCCTGCTTTTATTTAAACATACAGCGTAAACTTATTGCTGCCATTTTTATTGTTGACAACGAAAAAAAAGTAGCGCGAAAGAATGTAAAACAGCGTTTCGTCATAGCGAAAAATTTCGCTTCGCGCGAATATTTCGTCTTGTGGAAAACGGAATTTCATCTTGTGGAAAACGAAATTTCGTCTTGTGGAAATTTCGTCTTGTGGAAAACGAAATTTCGCTTTGCGCGAATATTTCGTCTTGTGGAAAACAAAATGCATGGGTGATGTGATGATATTCTAAACATATATCTAAATATATAAGCACTATCATACTATGATAGTGCTTAGAATGTTAGAATATCACATCACCTTCACAAAACTCAGAAATACAATATTATATGTTTAGAATATAACATCACCCATGTATTTTGTTAAAAAACCAACATACTAGATATTGTTTGTTAAAAAACAACATTTTTTGAACAACATACTAGATATTGGTTGTTAAAATACAACATTTCTTGCTTTATTCGGACGTACTCGGTACTCTACTAAGTTCTATTACTTCAAAACGCATCCTCGTTTTTATTATTCCTACTGGTGCGGTGATATTCTATTACATAAAGAAGTTGATACGAACAAGGTAATCATTTACAGATTTCTATTAAATTTGGCTATATAACGCTTTTACTTTGGCAATATTTTTCCTTGTCGTCATTTTTTTATTAAATATTTTAATGACGCAAAGAATTTCACATTGTTTTTTCTATAAACTGTTATCTTTATAAATTGTTATCCCTATGATTTATAAAGATAACAAAAAATAATAATAAATTGTTAAACTGTGATTGTTGATTAAATTGTTGATTAATTTGTAAAAAAAATAATTATTATTATTTCTGTAATTTATAAAGAAAAAAATAATAATATTAAAGATAACAATTTATAGTATAAATTATTATCTTTTTTTATTATAATTTTTTCCCTAAATTATTTTTCTAAACTTTCCTCGATGTTTTAATGGATGGTATAAAAGTGTATAATACATTTATGTTTAGTTTGTTTTAAACATTTTTAAGTTTATTTAAACAAGACAACCCAATCAGGAATTTGATATCATATTGATATCAAACTATGAGATATCATGATATGAAACATTTATGATATCAAAATGAAATCACTCATTGATATCATTTTGAACTCAAACCCTGATATCATAATATGAGAAGTTCATGATATCAATATGATATCAAAATGAAATCACTCATTGATATCATTTTGAACTCAAACCCTGACATCATAATATGAGAAGTTTATGATATCAATATGATATCAATATAAATCACGCATTGATATTATTCTGAACTCAAAACTTGATATCATAATATGAAAAGTTTATGCAAAACTTGTTGTTCCACTATAATTATTTAATTATATTTTAATAAAAAATGCATTTTATTATTATTTTAATTATATTTTTATGAGTAATGTTTTATAATTGTTTTTAAAAATTTTCTATTTATTTAGTAAAGTTAAATTATATCGTATAAATAAACATTTTTGTTGAAATTGATAGACCTCATATTATATATATAAATATAAATTCAATATTATATTACATAACGCTTCGAAAAAAAGTCAATATAATTAGTAAAAGTTTTATTTGAAAAAATAATAGGTAGCAAATATTCTGGTAAAGCCTTAACAAAAAGAAATAATGAATATGTCACAAATTTCTAGAACGATCTTATGGACTCAGGATATGGACTCGGCTATTGCATGGCTTTAACTTTACAATTGGGTTTT